GGGAAAGGGAAAGGGAAAGAAAAGGGAGGGAGGGAGGGAGGGAGGAAGGAAGGAAGGAGTTCCAGTGGTGACAGCTTTGATCCAGATTTCCTTGCCTATCTCCAATTATTCTCTTAATGAGAACTACAGATTTGAAGGAAAATACCATTTGGGGAAATCAAAGCCTCTGCCTTCTACTCGCATTCTTTCTCTTTTCCAGCAAGTGGACTTGGGGTAGAGTAAATTTTTCTCATTTGGAAACTTTAAAATGTCACCATGCTAAAGTTGGGGGCTGTCCAGGATATCCCCCCCCAACTCTGTCCATCAGCCAGAGATGCAAGGTACATGTCTGTCTGTCTGTCTGTCTGTCTGTCTCCACGAAATTTATCATAACGTCCTACGTAAACAGCCCAGGGACCATTCACTCAAGGGGTGGGGTAGACTGCTTGGACAGGGCACTTAAATTTATTATTTAAAAAGAACTTGAGAGAGAGCAAAATGGGAGCATTCAATCACCTCCAGTCTCCTTGTCAGCCACTAGTTCAGTGTTTTTCCACCTTGGCCACTTTAAGGTGTGTGGACTTCAACTCCCAGAATTGAACTTCAACAGCCAGAGCATGCTGGCCAGGGAATTCTGGGAGTTGAAGTCCACACATCGTAAAATGGCCAAAGTTGAGAAACATCTTTTTAAGAAGAAGTTTGGGTGGAAAATACAGTGTAGAAGGATCTACTTTTTTACTCCATTAGAGACTTCTATTTTTGGGAACCCCAACCTGAAAGCGACAAATAGAGTATAGCGATCCTTCATAAAAGCCTGCTTTGAAAAAAATGGGGTCCAGACCAATGATTCTCAACCTTGACCACAATGTCAACTCCCAGAATTCCCCAGGCTGGCTGGGGAATTCTGGGGGTTGGTTGACAAGGTGGAGAAACCCTGGCTTAGGCCTATGCGACATTTGCAACCCTCCTAAGCCATTCTTTTTGTGTTCCTACAAATGAAGAAAAACTCTGGAGGTCCTTCACCAGGGTTAATTAACCTTTAATCAACCCTAGTCAAACTATGGTCGAATGGTAGTTTAGGGGACCACTCCAAATTTGCAGAATGCCTTGAATTTTCTGGAGCAAAGTGGAAATTCTCCGTTTTGCTGCTTTTATGTGACTGACCTTCTAACTGATTTTCACGCTTCTGAATCAGCTGGTGCTTTTAGAAGATGCCTGTTATGTTAATATGATTTTAAAGGCCAGAGTGAATTCTGTTTTGTTTTTTTTAATAACTTCGTGAGTTGCTTCGAGCATCTGAAATAAAATGGAATCACGAAGCGGTCTGTGTAGTAACAAGATGTGGATCACGGATTGCAACAGGGTTTTTCAGGGGGGCGTGCAAAACCTTTTTTTCCCCTAGGCAACCGGAATGATCCTTGATTGTACTTGAGTTTTGGGGGGGGGGTTTGTCCCACTATTTTGGAACTTTTGCACTCAGACCCCGTCTGGGCTGCCGGGGCCATTTGGACCTGCAGATCAAGTGAAATCAAGGTTCCTCTGAGATGGAGAAGCCATGGCTGGAACGGTGGATTGCAAAATTCTTACCCAGAGACAGACAGAATGAAGCATCTATTTTCGGGGGCCAAAGCCACAAGCCACCGGGAACCCAGCTTTGCTCGGAAGCCTCTTGACCCCTCCCGGCTGCTTCCCTTATTTTCTCGCTGAGATGGCAGACCCAACCCTGACAAGCAGACCCCCGGCGCCTCCTCCCATGTTGTGGCTTGGGGTGGATGTGAAACTGCTGGCGTGGCAGGTGGGGAGGGGGGGTAACCCACGAGAAAGGAGAAGCGTGCGCCCACTTCCTTTTTGTGGCAAACGGGGGGGGGGGGGGGCCTCCATGATGCACAGAGGTGTGTGCATGTCCCAGCCAGGAAATTGCTTTTCTGAATTTGCTCTCCAATCAGCACCAGACGGACGTGGGGCAGGTTATCCTTGCTAGCTTGGGGACGTGCAAGGTAAGAGAAGGGCTTCCCCTGCCTGTTTTTGCTTCGGATATCAGCCCATTTGCAGTGGGGGGGGGCAGCAGTAAATCATAGTGTCCTTGGGGTCGGGGGCAATCCAAAGAGAAGACCCACCAGGTGAGTCGCTGCACTGAATCTACAAGTGAAACCAGCCGATATCTTCATAATGAAAAGGAATATACAAATCCCCAAGCAGAAGAGTGAGTTGGTTTGACAAAAGAGGCTTAAAGGTTAAAGCTCTGAAGGGTTTTGTGAGAAGGGACGAAGGAAAAATGGAAAGAAATCAAGTTTGAGGACAGTAATTGAAGGAATATGAAGTGGGTTTATTTGATCAAGGTTCAAATAGGTGTGTTGTTATCTCCGGTAACCCTTAATGCATTTTTGCTGATCAGTACCGAAATGACGAGGTTTTAAGGCTTTGTTTCTAGATAAGAGATGGGATATGGGAAGAAGAGAGCATTTGCTGTAGTTTAAGAAAAGGTGCTAAGTTACTAAAAATTTTTATACTTGTGATGAAGGTTGGAAGTCAATTCTTTATGTATTTCTTTTCTTTTTCTTTACTATATTCTTATTTTTTTTATTTCTCGATTTTTGCCCTTCTTTTCTGCACTTTCTAATTTTCTTTTGATTTTTTAAATGTTTTTATTTTGTACTAGTTCTTATCTTTCTAATTGTATGTTTAATAACATTATTATATAAAAAGATTCTGCTCAACTGGAGTGTTGGCACTCCCATAGCCGATGGCAAGAGTTGCCTTAGGTACTGGAATAATCATAGGAACATCTTACTGAATTTGTGCCACGTTTAACTTAGTTACAGAAGTAGCCCTTTTTCTGGACGGGTGCAGGAGTTCAGCCCTAAACCATACAAACAAGCCAAGCTCTGTGCAAAATCAGGCATAAAGCTAGCCAAGATTTACATGCAATGGGACCTGATTTGCAGGAACGATCACTGACTTGCTTCAGTCCCGTGAATGCATCAATGTGGGCTAAACATTCAACCTTTGCATCTTTGGGGGGAGTTATAAAGTTATTATTTCTCAACATCACAACGGCCACTTTGTCAAGATACCCGTTAGTTTGCAGCGATCAGGCCTTGCGCATATAGAAATTTGGGCTAGCAGTAAAGAGGCTCATTTTGCAAAAAACGTGCTATTTTGCTGGAGGGCCAGGTAGGGGCAAATCTTATTATTTGGAAAAGTTATTTTTAATTAGGATTTGTTGTTGCTGCTATTGTGCATATTTTGTTCATGTTTTCTGGACTTCCAGTTCGTTGTGGACATCAATTTTTAAAAAGGATACAGTTAAAAAGGGAGAGGGAATGTCAATTCTGGGGGATCCTCAGATGAAAAGGTTTGGAGGGGTTTTTTTAAGGGTTCCCCTACTTCTCATTGAGTTGGGGAACAGAGGAACAGCCTTATTCTGAGTTAAGGGTCTCGATTCTTCTAGACTCTTAACCAACACAGTTAACAGATGGCCAGCAAGCTGAGAGTCTGGCCCCATCTCTGCCCTGCGCAGAAATCCAAATTAAAGCAGAGAAGCCTAGAATGAAAGACATGGAGATGCCCTTTACAACATCCCTGACAGGTGGCCCCCCAGTCTTTCCTAAAACACGTTCCCAGAAGGAGAAAATCCCAACGTTCAACCAAAATCTACTTCCTTGCAATTTCATGCTGGCTGGGGAATTCTGGGAGCTGAAGTCCACACATTTTAAAGTTGTTGAGGTTGAGAAACACTGATCTAGTCCAACCCCCTGCCTGGTGCAGGAATCTTAGTCACAATGCTTAACAAATAGAAGCAGAGTCATGAGAAAACCTGGTTTAATGTGACTGCCCCCAGCTCAACCACAAATAGAGAAAGGGCCTGTTTCTGTATCCACACAACACACTGAGCCACAAACTAGCCACATCTTCATCAAGCGTGATGTGCAAAACCAGCAATGTTGGCTTGTTTTAAGGTGAGTGTTTTTTTGCACATCCAGAAAGCTGGGGGAGTTGAATAAACCGCGGTCTGGATAATGGTGGGTAAGGGTTAAGGTTAGATTTACTGGCCCCCCGCATCATTTGGTTACCCCTAGAGAAGAAAACAGACCTGGGGAGAAATCAGAGGCTGGAAGAAAAGCAAAATTAAGAATCAAGTTGAAGGACCTGTTGAAGTTCAGTGGGATTCCTGGTGGACCTTAATGTTGCTAAGAAAACTTCATGAGTTCTTGAGTCCGTAAACTCAAACCCTTCTTCTGAGATTTTTTTTTCAGCTTCTGAGTCTACTTGCTTGCACATTAAAATGTGGAACACAACAGCAACCTTTGGAGGGGGTTTTGGCATTTTCAGGGGCACAAGAGAAACGGAAGGGGGAAACTCCGAGAAAGGAATCACAGTTGGGGTAGCGATTCCAGTAAATGCTCAATGGAAAGATTGTAAGAGGTTTTAACTCTGGTAGGAGGGGTTCTGACGACCATGCTAAACCCAGGCTAACAAAATGCAGTGCTGTGCTCACGAAGCCCAAATTGGCAAACTGTTGCATGGATGGAGATGCTCTGCTTTCAACCATGCACAGGGTGCTGTCTGGGTCCCCACAAGCTGAACCCCAAAGTCCCCAACTGCCTTGGGTATCTGGTCGAACGTGCTAGGTAAACCTTCAAGCAAAGTTTCTCAACTCGAGGAACTCCCAGCTTCGCAGCCTTCCACTCCCAGCATTCCTCAGCCAGGATGGGCATTGTTGAGAATTCTGGGAGTTGAAGTCCCTCGCCCGGAAGTCGCCAAGGAAGGGGGCACCCTAGGGAGACCGACGGTGATTCCACCCCAGCACAGGCCCCTCTCTCGCTTTCTATGCCCATCCAGGATGCTCAGCGCCAAGGTGGTGCTCTGGGTGCTGACGCTCTGTCTGCCCGCAGCATGGCTGGTAAATGCTGGCACTTGCCAAGGGCCCACCCTCATCCCAGGCATCCCGGGCCTGCCAGGAGCTCCAGGCCCCAACGGTGCGGATGCAGGTGACGGGCGTAAAGGAGAACGAGGTAAGGAGAAAGAACCCCTCCCGTGAAAGGACCTCGAAGGTTATCTAGTCCAGCCCCCTGCCCAGGAGAAGGGGCCACGGCGACAACACCACCAGCGGTTAACCAACCCTCTACCTCCTGCTTCTGCTGCAAAACAAGCCCGTCTATGTTATTTGAGGGGGGAGGAGCAATAGAGAGAAAAAGATCAGGTCAGATCCAGAGCTGGGGGGCTTCTTCACTGGGGCCTTCCCCTTATTCCCAAGCAGGCTGAGCTGCAGCCTGCCCCACAAGCAGCTGGGGAAGGGGCTGGTGTTAAGATGCCACGATGCATCTCTCTAGGTCCCAGGGCTGGGGGGGCTGAGGAAACAATCTGGAGTGCAGGGGGGCATTCAGAACCCACTACCTTCTGCACCAGCTCTGCAGTAGCACTCACATTAGCGTGATTATTGCTGACGTGATGAGCGTTCACGTTCGTGTAAGTCCCCGTAATTGCTGGCAGATAACAAGGTTGCCCCACACAGTCGGAGGTGCTAGAAACATAATACAAAGCAACGAGAGAAAAGGAGAACAACATCCGAACTCCTGCTGCCCATCTGTTTTGTGTGCCGTACAAAAGAAGTCCTCCACCTCTACCTTTAAATGGGGCAAATTCAGAAAAGGCTATAGGGGTTGATGCTCCAAAGGCTCCAGTTCCTCTCCCTCGGGTGGGGACAGCACTGGGGAGCACGACTGCTCCCTCCAAGGGCCCCACGTGGTGCTGTTGGTGGGCTCCTGCTTTTCTAAAAGCCCTGGGTGGCCAGGAGGCCACGGCAGCCCACGAGGATCCCGTGTTTGGGCAGAGAAGCCTTTCCCCAGAAGGTCTCCTTCTGATCATCCTCAGACCCTCATCAATTCATCATCAGGAGCAGGAGACAGGAGCCAAAAACTGGATTCGTGTTTAAGGAGAGCCGGCCTTTCTGTATCAGGGTTCCTCTGATTCCGGTTCCAGGGACACTGGAGAGCGATGATTACCCTGGTTTTTGCTATTCTTAGCCTTCCTTCCTTCCTCTCTTTCATCTTCCTTCCTTCCTTTCCTTCCTTCCTTCCTTCCCTTTCATTTTTCCTCCCTCCTTCCCTCCCTTTCCTTTCCTCCCCTTTCCCACCTCTCTTAATTTTTCCTTCCTCCCTCCCTCCCTCCCTCTCAAATCCTGTCAGCCCTTCAAGGTAGTCCAGACCAGGAAATCAAAATTATGAACACTAATACTTTATTATAAGGTTACAGTAACAGAATCTTGCAAGTCTGAATTCCCCCCTCCCTCCCTCCCTCTTCATGAGAACTAGGGAGGGTCTTGTCTGAGGCGCTTCCTCAAACTGCATTTCTGCCTCAGACTCG